CTCGAACCAATCGAGTCCAATCAGACTCGTGCGCTCACCCCCAACAACCAGCACGTCTAAGGGGCCTTCAAAATTCTTATACTGTACCTTAAGGGTGGCCTCCCCCTTAACGCACACCTTGGAATTTTGAAAATCAGTAAGGATTATATTAGAAGGCCTTAGCGAAGCTCGCTGGCCACTGCTGCTGCAGATTTTGTGAAATGTGTTGAGGGAAATTATTGATAGGGCAGACCCCGTGTCTAGTTCCATAGACAATGGAACTCCTTGCAGTCTTATTTTAAGGGACAATTTCTTTTTAAGGGGTTGTGTGTGCCTATTCTTAATATATTTCTGCGTGTTGCACAGAAACCCACCCTGTTTTGGCTGGGGACCCTGGTACCTTTCAGATTCAATTCTTCCTTCGGTTGTACCTTCTGTCGACCCAGGCAAACCGCAGCGATGTGGCCTTTCTTTCCGCACGCTCGGCAGATGGCGGAACGGAACCGACATTCCGCTCGCTTGTGGCGACCTCCGCATCCGAAGCATCGAAGCTCAGCTGGGCCTTTGTCCGGACGATCTTTTGGCCTCCTTCCAGCTGCTTGATAAAGCTTGTCCACTTCATCTTCAGGATCCTCTTCTGAATCCTCCCGCACGTCCTCCTTGTGGATGGTTGCAGTCTCTGGAGCGCTTCGAGTGGGCCGCAGATTCTTTACCGCTCCGCCTGCAGCTTCCTCTGCCGTAACCTCTCGCAGAGACATCTTCCTTAGCAAACAGCTTCTGCTGTAAGTCTCTGTTCCTCAGTCCGCACACAAAACGATCGCGCAGCCTTTCTTCTAGATCCTTGAACTCACACGGTTTAGCCGCTCTTCTCAAGGCTGCAATAAATTCTTTTGCTGATTCCCCAGCTCGCTGATCTCTCAGTTCAAATGTATGCCTCCAAGCAATAACAGATTGCTTGGGCTAGAAGTGTTCTTTCAAAAATTTCTTTAGATCAGAGTATGAAACAGTTTCTAGCGAGGCCGGGGTGACTAGATTCTCGGCGATCTCAAAGGCGTCTTGCCCACAAACGCACAACATTGTGGCAGCCTTTATTCCATCTTCCCTTATCTGATTCACGTGGAAGTAAGTCTCCACCCTTGCAACGTAAGATTCCCATTTCTCCGGGTGAGAGACATCAAATTCAGATAAGCGACTGATTTTCGCCATGATAAAGGGACAGGGTTTTCTTCAGCCGCACTCACCCTCCAGCGATGCTGTACTGGCAGGATAGACGCTGACTTCAACGCCATCGTCCCTCTTCCGGACTTCTTTTTGGGTGAGTCTTTAAGCTTCCCTAGCTATCTAGACTATATCCCACCTTCGTCGCCAGTGTTAAGTCCGGAGAATAATGGCGAAAGAGGCAATGCATGTTGCTAACAGATCTTTATTCTCTCTCTCTTACAGCTAACAACCAACAAGAGCAGAGGCACGCAGGCCTCTATTTATACCCCCGGATCCCCGGGCAATCCCAACCAATAGCAGGCAGTCTTTTCCCGCCTTGCGCATGCGCGCAAAGCCGGCGCCGCTCAGTCTGGTCCCGGGCAGCTTTTGCAATGCCCGGGACTCTTGCGTCGTCCCGAGCCTGCTTCTGCAGGCTCAGGACACAACAGAACTCATATCAGGCAAGCTTTTGAACATTGTTGAGAATCTCCTAACTGCCCCACTTGTCTTCTATGAAAGCCAAATGCCCTTGCACAGTTTAATTTCTGGGTGCAGGTTCATATACAATGATAAATCAGAATCTCAAAGAAATCAAGCATATCATAACAAACTATACCCTGGGCATGAATGGCCTTGGACTGGCCTTAAAATTATTTAACATAAATATATGCCAGGGATTATAGCCTATAGCACGGGTGTCAAACTCGCTGTGTCATGTGATGTGTCGTGACATATCACGACTTTTTTTGCATTACCGGAGCTGGGGTGGGCACGGCCTCCGCATGATGCAACCGGTTCGCGGGCTGGCAGTTTGACACCCTTGGCCTATAGGGTCTCAGAGTTAGCTCTTGCTTAACAATGGTAATTAGGACTGGGAACTGCTGTTGCTAAGTGGCACGGTGTCATAATATCATGCTTTATAAACACAAGTCTCAGCACTGGCAGTTCCAATAGCCTACAGTTATTGTTGTTAAAT